TGAAGTGAGTCAATCTGAAAAGGTGACATACTGACGGCATGCTTCCGATGATATGACATCCCAGAGAAGGCAAAACACAGGAACAACAACAAGACCAGTGGTTTCCAGAAGTTAGGAGGGAAAGAGGATAAGTCTGTAGGGTACAGAAGATTTTAAGGACAGTGAAAACACTCTTTATGATAATGATGGCTATGTATCATTATAAATTTGTCCAAATGCACAGAATTACAACATCAGGAGTGAACGCTAATGTAAACTAGGGAGTCTGAGTGATAATGGCTTGTCAATGTAGGTTGACCGATTGTAACAAATGCACTACTCTGGTGGGGATGTTCACAGCTGAGAGGACAGGAGTTCCACAGGAAATCTCCACATTCTTCCAATTTTGCTGTGAACCTACAGCTGCTGTAAAAAAAAAAAAAAAAAAAAAAAAAAAAAAAAAAAAGGTTATTTATTTTTTATTTTTTTAATGTTTATTTATTTTTGAGAGAGACAGAGAGTGAGCAGGGGAGGGGCAGAGAGAGAGGGAGACACAGAATCCAAAGCAGGCTCCAGGCTCTGAGCTGTCAGCACAGAGCTTGATGCGGGGCTCGAACTCATGAACCATGAGATCATGACCTGAGCTGAAATCAAGAGTTGGACACTTAACTGAGTGAGCCACCCAGGTGCCCCAATAAAGTCTATTTTTAAAATATCCACTTGAGGGGATCAACAGCAGACTTGAAAAGCCAGAAGAGGGGCACCTGGGTGGCTCAGTCAGCTCAGTTCCAATTCTTGACGTCAGCTCAGGTCATGATCTCACAGTTTGTGAGATTGAGCCCCATGTTGGGCTCTAAGCTGACATTGCAGAGCCTGCTTGGGATTCTTGCCCTCTCCTTTTCTCTCTCTTCCTCTCTCTCTCTCTCTCTCTGTCTCTCTCTCAAAATAAACATTTAAAAAAAGAAAGAAAGAAAAGCCAGAAGAAATAATCATCGAACTTGAAGACAGATCAATAGAAATTATCCACTCTGAAGAAGCTAAAAAGGAATGAAGAAAAATAAACAGAGCCTTAGAGACCTGTGAGACATTATCAGGAATATAAAAATATATATAATGGGAGTCCCAGAAAGAGAGGTAAAAGACAAAGGAAGAAAAAATATCTGAAGAAACAACAGCCCCAAATTCCCAAACTAGATGCAAACTATTAATCTTTACATCAAAGAAGCTCAACGAGATCCACACCTAGACATATCAGACAGAAGACGCTGAAAGTCGAAAAGAAAACCTGAAGGCAACAAGAGTGGAAGGGCTTCTGTACTGGGATGTAGTGTGGTGACGGCTGACTTCTTGTCAGAAACAATGAAAACTTGTAGGCAGTGGGATGACATTAAAAAAAAATTTTTTTTATGTTTATTTTTGAGAGACAGAGACAGAGTATGAGCAAGGGAGGGGCAGAGAGAGCGGGAGACACAGAATCTGAAGCAGGTTCCAGGCTCTGAGCTGTCTGCACAGAGTCTGACGTGGGGCTCGAATCACGGACTGTGAGATCATGATCTGAGCTGAAATCAGTCACTTAACCAACTGAGCCACCCAGGTGTCCTAGTGGGATGACATTTTTAAAGTGTCAAGAGGAAAACTGTCAACCAGGAATTCCATATCCATCAAAACCCATCGAACTTATATGCTGAAAACTACAAATGCTGCTGAAAGAAATTAAAGAAGTACCAGATAAATGGAAAGAAATCCCATGTTCATGGATTGGAAGATGTGATATTGTCAAGATGTCAATATGCCCCAAAGTAAACTACCACTTCAGTGTAGTCAAGTTATATGAATCAAACTTCCTACAGTTTTTGAAGCAACAGAAAAGACAGAATTTAGATGTATGTCAACTTACAAAGAGTCCTAAAATAGCTCAATGACTGTGAAAGGCTAGAATCTGGGAGTACGTACAGAAGTCATAAACACAAACTGAAACAATCTTTTTCACAAGGGTTATGAGGGTATGCTATAAAAACTTTATGTCAATAAAATTAGACAATTTACATGAATTGGATAAATTCCCAGAAATTCCTAGAAAAACATGAATTATGAAAACTGACTCGCAGAACTGGCATATTTAATTAAGAATACAGACCTTGAGGGGCACCTGAGTGGCTCAGTCAGTTAAGTGTCCTACTGGCTCAGGTCATGATCTTGCAGTTCATGTGTTGGAGCCCCGCGTGGGCTCATTTTTTGTCAGTGTGGAGCCCATTTCAGTTCCTCTGTCCCCTCCCCCTCTGACCCTCCCCTGCTTGTGCTCCCTCTGTCAAAAATAATTAAAACATTTTAAAAAAATAGAAGCAAGAAGACACAAGGAAAGCAACTTTTCCCGAAGCCTCTGGAAAGAAGTGCAGTGTTGCTGACACCTTGATTTCAGCCTACTCTGGCCCAATTTGGATTCGTGACCTGAAGAACGCTAAGATAATACATTTGTGTTGTCTCAAGCCACTGAGTTTGTGGCAACTTGTTATGGCATTAACAGAAAACTAGCAATTATACTGATACCAAAGTCAGACAAAGACATCACAAGAAAGCAAAACTTCAAACCCATACCCCTCATAAACACAGATGCATAAGTCCTCAACAAGATATTAGCAAACCGAATCAAGCAGCATATAAAAAGGCTTACATACCACGACCAAATGGGATTTGTCCCTGGAACTCAAGGTTGGTTTAACATCTGAAAATAAATAAAATAAAGGACATAAACCGCATGAGCCTCTCAGTAAGTGAAGTAAACGTTTGACAAAGTCCAACACTCACTCAAAAAAAACTCTAGACACTCAGATAGAATGAGACTGTTCCATGCCAGCAAAGAGCACTACAGAAAGTTCTATAGCTAACATCCTACTTAATGGCAAAAGACTTGATGCTCTGCCCTAAGATCAGGAATGCCACTTCTGGCCAACATTGTACTAGGAAGTTCCAGCCAGTACAATCAGGCAAGAAACAGAAATAAAGGGCATAGAGATTGGGAAGGAAGACGTAAACCTGCCTTTATGTGCAGAAACGTGGTCCCATATGTTGAGCACCCCAAGGAACCCGTACCAAAAAAATCCACAAACCACACAAAAGCAAAAACAAAAACAAAATGAGGACTAATAAACAAATGCCACAGGGTCATAGGCTCCAAGATCAATACACAAAATTCAATTTTATTTTGGGGGTACCTGGGGGGCTCAGTTGGTTAAGTGTCCAACTTCCGTTCAGGTCATGATCTCGCTGTTCACGGGTTCGAGCCCCACATTGGGCTCTGTGCTGACAGCTCGGAGCCTGGAGCCTGCTTCCGATTCTGTCTCCCCCTCCCTCTGCCCCTCCCCCGCTAGCACTCTGTCTCTCTCTCTCAAAAATTAATAAACATTCAAAAAAACTAAACAAAATTCAATTTTGTTTTTATATGCCATCAATGAAGAGCTTGAAAAGAACAGTAACACCATTCCATTGGCAATGACACCAAAAAGAATAACGTACTCAGGAATACCCTGAAGACAGGAAGTGCAAGGCCTGCACACTGGAAACTACGTGGAAACCACGCCATGGTGCTGAGAGGACTGAAGACGGGAGCCTGAGTGGCTCCAAGACCACGGCCTGGAAGCTTCAATATTATCAAGATGGCACTTCTCCCCAGACTGATCGCTAGAGTCAATGCGATTTGTATCAAAATATAGAAATTGGTTTTTGGTTTTTGTTTCTTTCAGAAATTGGCAATCTGATCTTAAAATTTACCTAGAAGGGCAAAGGACCCAGCCAAAACGATATTGAAAACTAAGAACAAAGTTGAAAGACTCACACTTTCCAGTATCAAAACTAACTATGAATCTACAGAAATCAAAAGAATGTGATTCTGGCAGAAGCACAGACACTTAGATCAACAGAAAAGAACTGAGAGTCCAGAAATAAACACTCATTTTTGTGCCCAATTAATTTTCGACAAAGGTGTTATGATGTTTTCTGTGTCAACTTGGCGAGGCTACAGTCCCCTGTTACTCAAACAAAACTTAATCTAGTTTTAAGTTAAATGTTGTTGTGAAGGCATTTTGTAGATGAGATTAAAGTCCAACATACGTGGACTTTATGTAAAAGAAGTGATCTCATGTGACCTGGGTGGGCCTGATCCAGTCTGTTGAAAAGACTTAGCACAGCTGAGCCTTCCGGGGAAGAACCAATTCCACCTCTGGGAAGCGGTGCCAGAGTCCTCGCCCACCTTTGCCCTTACAGACCTGCCCTTACAGACGCCTCCCACTGATGCTGGCCGGCGCTCTGGTGGAGCCTTGACTGCCGCAGGTGCCGAGGCAATGTACCAGGGGAAGCATGGGCTTTTCAGTAAGTGGTGCTGGGCCATCGTCATCTCACACCATACATAAAAATTTGCTCAGAATGGTTCATAGACCTAAATAAATGTAAGAGCTAAAACCTTAAAACCATGTAGAATAAAGCATAGGGAAAAATCTTTATGATCTGAGGTTAAGCAAGGAGTTCTTAGATATGACATCAAAGCTGTAATCCATGAAAAAAAAAAAACCTGGTAAGTTTGACTTCATAAAAATTAAAAACTTTTACACTTCAAAAGACATCTCGGGGGCACCTGGGTAGCTCAGGTGGTTGACTGTCCAACTGCGGCTCAGGTCGTGATCTCACGGTTTGTGAGTTCGAGCCCCACGTCGGGCTCTGCACTGACAGCTCGCAGCCTGGAGCCTGCTCACAGCCTTGGATTCTGTGTCTCCCTCTCTCTCTGCCCTTCCCCACTTGCGCTCTGTCTCTCTCTCTCTGAAAAATAAATAAGAACATTTAAATTAAAAAAAACAACAACACCAAATCAGACTGGTTAGAGTTGTAAAGTTAGGTGGTTTGAGTATGAAGAAAACAAGGCAGTAATCACGTTGAAAGGTGGGTGTTTATCGCCTGGGGTGGGGAGGAGGAGCTGGTGAGTTTCTAGGAGTCTCGCTGTGTCCTTTTTCTTGACCTGGATGGGTGCTTGCTTTGTGGTAAAACTTTGAATGTATATTTTGCTTTCTACACTTTTCCAGATGCATGTTGCATTATACAACATTAACCCCTCGCCATACCAACCAAAAATGATACGGTTTTTAGAGAGAAATCTCACAAAAATGACCAAGACCTGTCCGCAGAAAGTTACAAAGCTCTACTGAAATATGTTAAGCCAGGCTTTCTACAAAGCGTGGCATTGTCATGGGATCACCATTCCCCAAGCTGATCTCTAAATCAGTGCAGTTCCAGTCAAATCCTAAAAGGTTTCCCCAAGAATCTGACAACATCAAGTTCTAAGGAAAAAAGCCCAAGAAGGAGTCAAATAACTTCAAAGAAGATGTCCCGGCAGCTGTCATGACTTCCAAAGACTAACGGGCCACCGGACGGTGTGGTGCTGACCCTCATCCTGGAAACAGTCCGGCAGGAACCCATTTATCACAGAATGGGAATCACGGAGCATGGAGAAAAGAGGGAGCTGGTTTATAAATAAGTCAACAAAATAAAATTTAAACGTCAGCAAAGAGTAAACATAAACATAATGTCTGGTATGGAGGGTTGAGTGAGAGGACACAGATGGGACAGCGTGTGCTCAGGGGGACCACTGCCCCCAAATAAAAATAAACGAGGTGTAAAAAGGCAGGACAACTAGAAGGCACAAAACAAAGTCCCGAGAAGTTCAAGTCTGTCGCTGCGTTGTAGGCGCTGCTTCCACGCACCGGAAGCAGGAGCGGCGCCGGGGACCTGGGACCTCGGCACTGGACACAGGCTCCTGTCATATATTCGGCCTTAGAGACATGGGGCTCCTGTCCCCAGCTGCCCAGCAAGTGGGGTCTGGTGGACAGAGCTGGCCACCCACCCCCCCAACCCCCTTGGGGAACAAAGCTTCCCAAACG